TCGTGACTCCTAGAGCTGTGGGCCCCACTATTCCATGCGCTAGAAGAGCCCCGTGCGCCGTGTTGCAGGGTTGCTTTGGTAGCAGCCTTTGTGTCAAATCTCGCCGGAACACTTTGTTGTGGCTGCGGCATGCGTGCAACGGTATGTGGCAGAGCGGCCTTTTTTGGCAGCTTGTTGGGTTAAGCGCAGCCGTGCATGTCCGCGCAGCCTGTGTACTAGATATAGTCCTTGTGGAACCCGTGTATACGTGAGCCCCAAGACCTTACTTACAAATTGTCAGGAGTAGCACTGCCTGCCAACCCGGGAAGACCCAGAAAGAACGAGCTACACTATTTTGGGGGTTCCTTCTTATAGTCATAGTATAGAGGGCCCCCAGAAAGAGCGAGCTGGATCCTGGCGATTGCACCAGGTGAAGAAGCTAGTGAAGGAGATCGAGGCTGGACTGTCCCTTTTGTGAAAAGTCAGGAAGCCGAAAAATCGTGAACTCACCATCGAAAGCACACAAAACCCTTATTCCACATCCTAAACATCATGGAACCCTGCAGCGTACGAGGTCTAGAATCTAGGCTGTCTTCCGCAGACATCCCAATGGAGCCTTCGGAGTTTTAGAGTTTGGGAGTGTGCCAACATGGGAAGCTACCGTGTGTCTCAAGTCGTGATATATCTTGCTATAAGTGTATTCTCCGGATCATAAAAAGGATCCCTTAACCCGGGACCCGAACCAGTATTGACAAAACAAGGGGTATCGACATATCTGTAATATATATATATATATATACAGATATTATTTTACATATGTATATAGTTTTTTCGGGGTCCTATGGATGTTCCAATAATCAGGGTTCCATGTTCGTTTGATTTGGTTGCACATGGGGTTTTGGCCCTGGTTGAGATCATGTAGCTTTGTGCATACGGTGCCAAAAAAGTAGCTATAGCTACAAGGTGTAGGAATGCCGTGTAAGGGCAATGTGGGCGCTGTGTGAGTGCATGGACTTAGGGGAGAGCCGAGTATCCTGGGCCCTGGGATCCTCGAACTTCAGCTTTCCCCAAAGCCTTTGCTTGAAGGACCAGGGGACTTAGGATAAGGTCTGTAGCCTTACTTGGTACGTCCCCTGATCCTCCAAGTTTACAGGTGTTATAATAGAAGCCTAAATAATTGCACATATTCGGGTTCCTTATTATCAATATCTTCGGTAGGGTGTTACTGAGCTTGTTGGGAGTGTTATTGACGGCTGGTCGTGGGATGTCACAGATTCTTGTGTTGATCCTTGCACACAGTCGGACTTCTGGAATAAAGAAAGACGAATGCTTAGCCAACGTTTTGGAAACATACCGAGTTTAGTAACTGGTGCTCAACTGCGGCACTGCCCCGAGACGGGAGCTTTGATCTGGGATTCTCAAGTCTGCGGTGTGCCCCTCAAGAGTTCAACTAGATGCTTCAGCGCTGCTTGCCATGAGCTGTTTCGAGATCAGGGGCGAGGGCAGAACCTTCGTCGGGTTAAGGTTGTAAGATGGTTCCCGGCTTCCGGCTAAAGAATCCTGAGGACTATAGTTGTAATTCTTCTTGAACCCAGTTAAGGTAGTTATAACCCGATTTAACAGGTTCCCTGATCCTTTAAGTATGACATCAAAAGGCTCTAACATAGGGGCTTTAATCAAAACCTATCCTATTCTGGGGAGGTTCCTTAATATAATTATAGTATAATGGGCCCCAAAACCCTATTCTCATTATTAAGGCCCCTACATTATGTTTGTTCCGCTGCAGCTCTGGCTCAGCTGTTAGAAGAGCTACTGTGGCTCATAAGCCCGCAGCACCCGGCACTTCGAAACTCTTCGATCGAAAACTGCAGCCACTGCAGCCGCCCGCCAGAAAGGGTATAGGGTTTAGAGCTTTAGGGCTCAGAGAGGTTCCCATGTACCATCTCGTGTTGGCACTTGTCTCTGTGTGTTTGTCTCTCTCTCTCTCGCTCTCTCTCTCTCTCTCTCTCTCTCTCTCGCTCTCCCGCTGCGCGCGCGTGTGTGTGTGTGTGTTCTTGCTGCAGTGTGTGTTGTCTGTGTCCGTGAACGTGATGCGACCTGTAGACATTTCAATGTCTCCTCTTATCATCGGGATATAGAGCTCGCGGTTTCATACGGAAGTTTGAGCGAAATTGAAATCGCCTTTGGGATAAGTCTTGCAAGCTACCTTCCGGCAAAAAGCACCGGTGCTGGATTCGGAGTTCGTTGAGATTAACAGTGCCGTCGCCAGGGTTACTTAACATCTTCATAGCACATCGTAGGAAGTAGCCCTAAACACTAAACCTAAAGCCAGCTTTTTGGACTTCACGCCCCTTTCAAAACGGCTGAGTTCGTCCACCCCAAGCCAGACTTTACCGTCGCAACGGGACACGATGTCACAAAGATCCCAACCACAACACATGCAGCAGTAGCAGGTGCACTCCCTTCGCCGTCTAGCGTGGCCTCTCGCTGAAACCTTTATGTTTTGTACAACAGGGCAGCAACACGTCCATGTCAGCCCCACATGGTACTAAGATGTACTACGATCCCGGCGGCACGACCGGCCTCGCTAATTGTCACTTCCAATCTGGCGGATTGAAGGTCGCGCGCTTCGCTTCGCAACTGCCAAATCCGGGGTGTTTAAGGATCCTGCTAACTGTATCTAATTAGTGACGAATCATCCCTTTCGTTACCTCGGACCTGTGGAAGGACGTACATCTGCAACTAAGCCTCCAACTGTACGCATACGCCCGAAAGCCGAAACATAGGGTCATCGTCATTATAAGAACGGAGAGTCATGTCCACAGTCTGAACATGGCCCTGCTGCCAGCAAGGTACAGTCAGCCAGTGGTGTCTTGCCTGAAGGTATGTGGGCTGAGCATGCAGGATGACAGTCGGTTTAGGGTTTGGGGTTTAGTAATAGGGATTATTATAGGGTTTAGGGTTTAGTAATTCTCACCGGAGGTTCCATCAAGTCTGATGCTCTCCTCGTCCATAGGAAGAAAAGGTTCACCTGCAAATCTGGAAGGCATCGTCGCTATCCTCTCCTTGGGGTCTGTGTTGCATGTGACCTTCTTATTCAGTTTCGGAGGCCACTTAGTTAGTTTGTTGTTACAATAGAGGAGCAGTGCCTTCCTCAAGAAATCGTGGCTTACACCTTCAAGACAATGCACAGGTAGCCTTCAACAGGAACACTCCGTCGGCTTTTAATCTTTACGCGGCTCTGCGGACGTCGCAGAGTGAATTCCTTGGCCTCATCTCCAAACCGCGCCGCAGACAGTGCATTCCCGTTGCTGAGGACGTCGTTCGCTTCCACCTCCGCAAGTAACAGGCATCATGGCGGGGAACAAGCAGCCTGGCTCAGAGAGGGAAATGCCCCAGGGAGTCCAAGACCCCACGAGGAAAGCATCCTTACTACCTTACTTCATACGCTCATCGCCTTTTGTTGTGAACAAGTTAAGGGATACCTGGCTCTGTGGGCGGAACTCCTGCATTTCTTGCACAGGGTTAGGGGCCGCTGCTCAAGCAAAATACTCGAGGCACGTCACACCTTTTCGATTCTACCCTTCACGGCGCTTCTTTCCCTGTGTATTCATGTTCATGCGTCAGGGTTTTATACGAGCGGCACAGGTTTGATACTTAGTTTGTTTGTCTTTGCTTGAAGGTTTCACAGGCTTCGCTGTCTGGTTTAGTGGGTTTTAAAACATTCATTTCTGATCATGATTAATTAGTAGATGTTTTCAGCGTCGACCCCTGATCCATAGACTCCCTGTCTTTAAGTGCCTTGGTGGTGGGATCCCCATCATAATCTTGACTAGGGGAGGAGGGGTCTGGAGGGGTCTGCATTAGAAGCCAAGCCCTGATGTGCAGCATGGATAGTAGAGACGAGCCTGAATACAGTTCTCAGAGCTTCAAGAACGCCCGAACACTAAGCCCCCCAAAGCGAACCCCAAATCCCAAACCCTAAACCCCCAACCTTAAACCCCCAAAAACAAACCTAAATCGTAAGCCCTAAACACCCAAGCCCTAAACCCACAAAAGCAAACCTAAATCCTCAGCCCTAAACCCCAAACCCTAAGCCCCCAACAAAGCAAAATCCCAATGTCCAAGAGCGGCAGCGCGAGGTTTTGGGGCGGTGATTCCTCATCCTCGGACTCGGACTCGGATTCGGACTCCGAGGAGGAGGCGGACGGCTCAGAGGGCCTACCTACAGTCTCCATTGTAGTTCCTTTTTTTGGTTTAACCAAATATATATTAAGGATTTTATAAGGTATCCCCAAAAAGGAACTACAATGGAGACTATAGGTATAACCCCAAAGCCCTCAAGCCCTGAACCCTGAACCCCAAAACCCTACACCCTAAAACCCCCTCAGAGCCCTTTGAAGGAACCTTGTTCGAACCTGAATATAGGGGCTTTAATAAGTACCAATACTATTTTAGGAGTTCCTGATTATAGTTTCAGTATGATATACCCCCAAAACTCTGTTCTAATTATTAAGGCCCCTACATTAGGGCTTCAAGGTTAACGGGTTTAGGCTTTCGGTTAGGGATACTGGGGATTATTGGATGGTATTGGGGCTTCAGCGGTGTGGGTCTTGGGGTATTCGGGCTTTTCCTGGGTCTTCATTGCAGGATTAGTCTTTGTGGCATATGGGGGATCAGGCTTTTTTTGGCTACTCGGACGGCCCAAAACGGATTTCCCAAAATCTCTCTCAAGCTCTGTAAGCGCTCCCAGAAGCCCCCGAGTCATCACGGGCAACCACATCTAAAACAGTACTAGGACGTGTGTATCAGAAAATCTAAAACCTGCTTGAAAGCAACAACGAACTAGCAGATTGAGCGCTCGTAGGAGAAGCCCGTGGCCGCCGCGGCCGCGCCCAGGAGAAGGGAGGGGGGAAACTTTTTTGCGGCTTTTGCTTGGGGATTTTACGGCTTACGGAGCTTCTTAGGTTCAAAAATGCTGGCTGCTAGATCAGAGGTCAGCAGGTAACATTACAGTGTTCCACTGCGGTTACAGGCTGGTGCAATCATGAAATACAAGCTTCAAGAAATGGGAGCAGAGCAGGATAGATAAGTAGATAGATAGATATAGAGAGACAGACAGAAGTTAAGATGTATAGCTAGACTGAGCTTCCAATCAAGTAGCAACACAAGTAGTAACCAATATTGCTTGGCGACTTACAGAGCTGCTGTGCCTTAAACCCTAAACTCCCTTAACCCGAATTCCCGCGAGTCAAGGACCCCAGGCCCCACGCCCCACATTTGAATTAAGGATCCCTGTATCCCGGGCTCTATTGTAGACCGTAAGACCTAAATATCACAATCCCGGCAACTACCCTTGAGACCCAGACAGGCTAGGCGCCTGAACATAGGGACCTTGTATGGTTTTGTTTTGAGGACGACAAGGGTACACTATAGCTAGCTATCCCTAACCAGGCC